ACCTTGCGTCCCAATCCCCCTCCTCTTCCCCATTCTGGAGCTTTGCCAGTTTTGAATCATTTCTCCTGAACCAGAAAGGGTCTTTCCCTTTGTGCTAGAGGTTTAAAATTGATTTGTCTTCTACTCCTTCGCCAAAACCCTTTTATACAGGAGACATCCAATTGAAAGCACTGTAACTTCGCTCTTCGTTGCCTTGCTGATTAATACCATAGTCTTGGAAGTTTATAGTAGACCCTTTCTTTTGTGATTTGACTGTGTGTGTGTATCTGTGCGTGTTTGAGGCAACCGTTTTATGGACCGTGAGTATTACATGAAGACCCTTGATCCTCTTTTTATAAATGCTCTTAACTTGTTAAAACTGCATGTGCTTGACTACAAGGACCAAAGTAGGGGGAGGAAATGCCACCTACCGTTTCTTGAAATCTCCTATCATAACAAAACACAAGAACAGAATTTGCCACTAGAAGCCTTTCGGGATGGATTTTGTTGCACTGTTTCAAGGTCGCTGAAATGCCATTTGAGCTCAAAACTAGTGCCATATGGGATGATGTGTGTATGTGTGTATATGTATATGCATGCGTACATGTGTATTTGTGTGATTGATATGAGAGCCAAAAGGTTTAAACAGTTCAACTAAAATGTGTACTCCCCCTTTTTCCGAGTTTTATAGGCTTTGAAATGGAGCACACACTACTTTTTTTAAAAAGCTGCTTCTCCATACATTGAAGCCACCCGCTCGCATATTTAATACACACACTTCGTAAGACTTTTGGACAGTAGACATTAACCAGTAGCACCCCTTTTGTACAAACTACTGTGGGTTATCATTTAATGGGATCATTGCAAGTCCCACAAGTCTGAAGCACATTTGGAAAACACAAATGTGGAAGAAGCAATGGTGCCTCAGAATTACTTTTAAATGTCCCAAAGTTAACATCTGAATCGAATCCTAATTGTATTGTCGAAGGCTTTCATGGCCGGAATCACTGGATTGTTGTAGGTTTTTCTGGGCTATATGGCCATGTTCTAGAGGCATTTTCTCCTGACGTTTCGCCTGCATCTATGGCAAGCATCCTCAGAGGTAGTGAGGTCTGTTGGAAGTAGGAAAATGGGTTTATATATCTGTGGAATGACCAGGGTGGGACAAAGGGCTTTTGTCTGCTGGAGCTAGGTGTGAATGTTTCAACTGACCACCTTGATTAGCATTTAATGGCTTGGAAGTGCCTGGGGGTGGGTTGAAACATTCACACCCAGCTCCAGCAGACTAAAGCCCTTTGTCCCACCCTGGTCATTCCACAGATATATAAACCCATTTTCCTACTTCCAACAGACCTCACTACCTCTGAGGATGCTTGCCATAGATGCAGGCGAAACGTCAGGAGAAAATGCCTCTAGAACATGGCCATATAGCCCAGAAAAACCTACAACAACCCAGTGAATCCTAATTGCTGGAAGTAAAGCACATTGAATGAGATAAAGTCTCAGAAAATCCTTCTAGCTGTAGTTTTCTTGGAAAAAAATAAAATCCATGCTTTTGCAAAAGTGTGCATTAGACAACTACAAAAGTGAATGTTTAAGGCTTTCATGGCCGGAATCACTGGGTTGTTGTAGGTTTTTCAGGTTGTATGGCCATGTCTGAGAAGCATTCTCTCCTGGCGCTTCACCTGCATATGTGGCAAGCATCCTCAGAGGATGCTCACAACCTCTGAGGATGCTTGCCACAGATGCAGGCAAAATGTCAGGAGAGAATGCTTCCCAAACATGGCCATACAACCCGAAAAACCTACACCAAGCCACAAAAGTGAATGTTTGCAAGGAGACTACAGTTGGAGTATAGTAAAACAATTATAGATAGGTAGATAAATAGTGGGTTTAGGACCAGAGGGGGGTGGTTGGGAGAAGGGAAACCGGTTGTGAAATTACCCCGTTTATTAAATTGATGAGCAACATTAACTTCAAATAATAATCTTATGTATTTTGATTTCAGGAATGAAAATTTCAGCAAATCTAAAATTTTGTCGAAGGCTGTCATGGCTGGAATCACTAGGTTGTTGTAGGTTTTTTTGGGCTATATGGCCATGTTATAGAGACATTCTCTCCTGACGTTTCGCCTGCATCTGTGGCAAGCATCTTCAGAAGTAGTGAGGTCTGTTTGAACAAGGAAAACGGGTTTATATATCTGTGGAATGACCAGGTTAGGACAAAGAACTCTTGTCTGTTGGAGATAGGTGTGAATGTTTCAACTGACCACCTTGATTAGCATTTGATGGCCTAGCAGTGCCTGGGGCAATCTTTTGTTGAGAGGGAATTAAATGTCCTTTATTGTTTCCTCTCTGTTGTTTTGCCGTTGTAATTTTAGAGATTTTTTAATACTGGTAGCCAGATTTTGTTCATTTTCATGGTTTCCTCCTTACTTGCCATAGATGCAGCCTCTAGAACATGGCCACATAGCCCGAAAAAACCTACAACAACCCATATCTAAAATTTGTCTAAATGAAATCTCTCTTATTTCACTTTTATTCATATAGTTGACAGTTATGAGTCTTTAATCCAACATGGATTTGTGAAAAAGAACTTCTTAATGATTTTTCTCAGATTCAGGAGCAGCTGGTGAATGCTCTGATGTAGGAACAAAAAATCCACTCTGGATTTCCTACACTTGTCACAGATTAATCAGCCACTCCTTATATTGCCAGTGAATTAAAAAAAAACCCTTGGGATCATTGGCTCACAAAAAGGAATACCTATAATGGACTTTTGAGCAAGAGGATGGGTGGAAAAGCTAGAGCTAAGGTGGCCAAGAGAATATAGGAGGCAGGGAAGATCTTACCTTTATCAAGGCAAGGATTTTTATTTGCATGTTTGTTTTGTGTGCTGTAGACTGGAATGACAAGTGGTGGGCATCCAGGCATCAGGTCTGTGGGGTGCACTCACACCTGCTGCCAAGTGAGTATCCTTCAAGGCCAGAGGGTAACCGATGGGGGAATTGCAACAAGCAGCTGGCACGTGTTGCCAGGGGTCCTCTTGCAGCAGGTTGTGGCATCTGTCACCCCCCATCATCTCCTCTCTGGGTGGTTCATGAGCAGCTTGTGTGTCCTTATGGTTCAAGACGCTTCCTTGAGTCTCTTTGTGGTGTTTGAAACGAAGCTCACTCTTCTGCTTGTGCATGCGTGTGTGTGCGTGGGCGTGTGTCAACAAAGCAACTGTGCCAATGCTGTTTACACAGATTCAAACATGAAATGCTAGTCTGCCTAATGTTACCATATGCCTTATGTGTGTTTTTTTGGGCGTTCATTAAAAGCATAACAAAAATGACATTGGCGTTGTTCTGTGCCCATCAATTGGTTCCTTCACGAGGACGCACAAACATTCGAACCATGCAAGTCAATGGAGGGAATCTTATTTGTTTTCTAGTGCTGCATTGAATATTTCCCGGGAAGAATTGGGATGGATACAGTTGCCTGAAATGAAATTCCTCTGCCAAAGAGGCAAATAACATCACAATGACAGTTACTTACTTACTTAGGCGATCCCTCATTGTCCGAGTAGGATAATCTTCCAGGGTGGGTCCGTAGGTGACTGTGGAGTCCAATTTTTTATTATTATTATTATTTTAGAAATCACTTGGTTCTGATATTTTATTGAACATATTCTTCTTAAAAGCATTTCCTCTTAAGTAGTGGCCACAGCTGCTGCCTGGGTTCTCTGCACAGAGACTCGAGTGGCATGGTTCTTTGCCAGGTGCCCTATTCTTGATCTGCATGTTCTCCCGCAGTGAGGGCATTGGTTTCCAGGTGGAAAGCGGTCCCAGTTGGGGTTGGCTTGACACGCCTTCCTCTTGGCATGTTTCTCTCTTTCGCCCTCTATTCATGCCTCTTCAGATTCTACAGCACTGCTGGTCACAGCTGACCTCCAGCTGGAGTGCTCAAGGGCCAGGGCTTCTCAGTTCTCAGTGTCTATGCCAGAGTTTTTAAGGTTGGCTTTAAGCCCATCTTTAAATCTCTTTTCCTGCACACCCACATTCCATTTTCCGTTCTTGAGTTTGGAGTAGAGCAACTGCTTTGGGAG